ATTTTCGAAATAAATTGAATTACTGAAATGTCAAACAACTTTATTGTGTTGGTTGCTTAGCAATGTCATGACATAAGTGATAACTACCCGTGAAAAATATCCATGGGTAGTTATCAGTGTAATGATGGTTTCATTGGTTATTTCGACACACATGACTAGAAATAGACAAATTTGATAGGATAATTTTTTTGGCAAAAAATTTTCACTCTAATAGCATAACAACCTGAGGCTAGTTTTTTTATTTAGATTTCTTATGTGTTCCTCCAATTTCCATTTTTCATTTAAGTAGATTCCTAAGAATTTGGAAATTAAATTTCGAAACATTCATCTCTCCAAAGTACCAACACAATAGACTCTGGTGAATGTTTGTAGAAAAACAACTATTCACCCAGCTAATGCCGCACTGGACATTGAATTATATCCGACAAACATTTATGCAAGATACCTCACAGAGGTTAGTCTTGCTGCTGAATGAATTTTGAGTTTTACCAAGTGTTATTGTATCCTCGAATAAGATAATGTAGGTTAGGTTAGGGCCAAAGTAAGTGGGTCTATTTGACCCTCCACCACAACCCGTAACGGTTTATTGTGGCTCACACCTATTCACACTCGACCCAATAAATCCAGCTTCTTAACAAAGATGATCAGTTTGTATGGTGAGTGGTCTCTGATACGGCTCTGCCGTACTCTTACCATCTGATCTTCACAGAAAACTTCCCGCATATGCAATTGCCAATACAACTGAAAGAGTCGACCTTCAATTCTGGAACGGCCACACTTGCAGATTCCTGCACTGACGCTTGTCGGATATAATCCAACGCCCTTCGTGGTATCAGCCAGGGGAGTAGTTGTTTTCTGATAGGCGTCAACCCATTCAACCTACTGTGTAGGTATATCGAGACTGGCTTGAACGTTTAAAGTTCATTTGCTTTAGATTTGTTTACTGCCAGTCTTCAAGCATAACCCATTGACTAATAAGAAAGTTTTTCTTCCTTATGCAGAGGAATCGGGCAAATTACGGATGTGCAGTTGGTTAGTACCTCATCCCCTAGATGGAGTGACATTTTGTGATGTTCGCTCCAACTTCGGAAGAGGAATGAAATACTCTGAAAGAATTCCGATTTCCAATTAAGGGATATCATTGACTTTACGTCGATGATGGTCACTATCTTGCACTGACGAGTGGCTAATGAGCCCGAAACCGGTCTGCAAGTGTGCCCGTTCCATAATTGAAGGTCGACTCTTTCAGTTGTATTGCCAATTGCATATGCAGGACATTTTCTGTGAAGATTCCTGCACTGACGCCTGTCTGATATAATCC